GCCGAGCGGCGAGGGCAGGACACGGCGGCTGGCGCGCCGACAGCCCCCTGCGAGGCGCAGAGGCAGGCAGGCGGCAGTTGTTGCCATCTCAGCACGGCTGCAGGCAGGTGGCTCAGATTCCTGCGGCACGGCGTCGTGGCGCGTTGGCACCTGACGGCGCTGGACATCGCGGCCAGCCTGGTGAGCTCGCGGGGCGTGACCTCGCGGAGCGGGGGCGGCAGTTCGACGCCTGGGTGGGCAAGCAGCTCGAGGGGGGCGCGTCAGGCTTGCGCGCGGTCACCAGGGTGCCCGCTGGCTGGCAGGGCAGCCCATGCAGCGCCAGCCAGGGCCCCGCGGGCTTGGGCAAGGAGTTGGCGCAGCCCGAGAAGGAGTGGAGCAAGCTCTGGAGGGTGGATTGCAACCAGGCTGAGCTGCAGTGGCCGTCCGACCTCGGCGAGGGGCCGCCGCTGCCGACGGTGGAGGAGTTGCGCGCCTGCCTCCGCGCCTCCAGGAGGGGCGCCGTCGCTGGCTTCGAAGCGATCAAGCCGAGGCAGCTCTTTGAGCTCAGCGAGGTCGGCCTCGAGGCGCTCATCGACGTCCTGATGGTGGTTGAGCAGGCGGCAGAGTGGCCCGAGCTGCACACCATGATCGTCTTCCTGGCCAAGAGGCTCGGCGGGGCGAGGCCCGTGGCCGTCATCCACATGCTGGCCAGAGTGCAGACCAGGCTGCGCAGGTCGATCGCGGACGGGTGGGGGCGCAGGAACGACCGTCCCTTTTTCTGGGGGTCCAGAGGCAGAGGGTGCGAGGGGGCGGTCTGGCAATTGGCGGCGGAGTGCGAGTGGGCCACTGCCAGAGGGAGGGAGGCAGGATCACCTGAGAGTTGGGTGTCCGCGCTGGTGCTCCTAGACCTGCTCAAGGCGTGCCAGCACGTGCAGCATGGGCAGCTCATCAGGGCAGTGGTGAGAACGGGCTTCCCGCAGTGGCAGCTCAAGTTGCAGGTCAGCCTGTGCAGGTCACCGAGGTGGCTGGTGCTGGATGAGGCGGTGAGCAACCCCATCACTGCCAGCAGGCTGTGCTGCCAGGGGATGGGCTCGCCACGCTCATGCTCAAGATGATGCTGACCGGGCCCCTGGATAAGTTGCAGGCTGTGGCGCCCACAGTTTCGCTGTCGGTGGTGGTGGGCGACGTCATCCTCAGGCGAGTCGGGGGCGTGCAGCGGGCGGCCACCGAGGTTGCCACCGCGGCCAGGCGCCTCGAGTCGTTCCTCGGTGAGGCGGAGCTGCGCGAGGCCACCAAGGAGTCCCGCGCGCGCGCGCTCGCCAACCACCAAGATGCGAGGAGGGATCTGGAGCGCTGGTTGAGGAAGCCGCCGGGTGTGCTCGCCACGGGACAGGAGCGCAACCTGGGCGTGGACTTCAGCGGAGGCAAGCGGCTTGGCCGCGGCGTCCGCGCTGGACGGATGTTGCAGGCGAGGCAGAGGTTGAGCAGAGCGAGGACTGTCCAGTTGGCCAAGGCGAGGAAGAAGGCGGCCAGGAGGATTGTCAAGACGGCGCTGCATCCGAGCATCGCGTACGGGGCGGCCATCACGGGATGCGCCATGGCCAGGCTCGACCGCGCCAGGTCCCTCACGTTTGTAGCGGCCTCCAGCACCACCGCGGGCAAGTCGAGGGCTCTTGCGTTGATGCTGCTGCCTGGGCTGGGCCCGATCGTGCACACCACGCGCAAGGCCGTGCAGATGCTCCTCCGCGCGGTCTGGGAGGGTTGGGTGCCGCGCCGCGTGGTGGCCTTCTGCATGCAGGACGCGCGGGCAGTCTCGCGGGCCCACGTTCAGGGCCCCTGCAGCGCGACGGACCTTTCGCTGCGCAGGGTCGGGTGGGACGTCGTGGCCGCCAACTGCTGGGGGGTGGACGTCGGCTGCTGCGTCGCGCCCTTCGACGTTTCCCCGTGGGTCGTCATGAACTTGGCACAGCGGGCCATCGTGCGGTGGCAGCGGAGGCAGGTCAGCAAGGCGCCAGGCTGTGCACACCTGGCGAGTGGCGGTGTGCTTGAGCCGCTGGTCAGGCTCACCACCTCGGGGTGCGTCACCAGCGCGGCGGACAGGCAGAAGGGTGCAGCGGCGGCGGCCAGGGTGAGGCTCAGTCCGCGCGAGAGAGCGCACTTGCACTCGCTGGTGGTCAACGGGCAGCGGCCCCAGGCGCGCAAGGAGGCGAAGGGGCTGGCCGCCGCGGCCGACTGCTTGCTGCGCGAAGCGCGAGGCACCCTGCTGCACAGGCACTGCGACTGCCCCAGCTAGCGTAGCGTGCTGGCGCTCCCCTAGGAGCTTGGAGAGCTCAGGAGGCGATGCCACCAGCCTGACGACCAGTTCCTGCTCGAGAGGTGTCTGTGGCCTGTGGCCCTCCGCCAGCCTGCGCAGGCCGCGGGCTAGTGACCTCGTGTGCTGGAGAGGCGACCACGCAGGTGGGTTGCTGCCTGAGGGGAGCTCTTCCCGGGCGGCTCCGCGTTCGAGTCGGACTTCGACGGCTGCGCCTCGGTGGGCTGGAGCGTGGTCGCCCTCCGGCAGGGCGCCGACTGCTACTGCGCCTCCGTCGCTGGCCAGCTGGAGGGGGCGCCGCGTCGACGCCAGCGGGGGCGAGCTGATGGCGGTCATCATGGCGCTGCAGTTCTGGGTTGGGGACACCGCCCTGGTCGTGGACTCGAAGTGCGTCTGCGACGGCTCCAACAGGACTGGGCGCGAGTTCACCACATCGTGCGCGTACTCCTGGGCGCAACTGTGGCTGGGGGCGTGATTCCTCATGGGCGAGCGGGGTGGGCTTGGCCGCGCGGTGCGGGCGCGCTGGTTCCCTGCTCGCCGCGCGAGGAGGCAGGTCACCGACGGCGTCATCACCTACAGCGACTGGGTGAGCAACAAGTGCGCGGGCCTGGCCGCCAAGGCTGCGGCGAACCAGAGACGAGTGCCTGCAGTGGATGGGCGCATTCTCGTCTCAGAGCGCAAGCAGGTCGAGCTGGTCGCCTCGTGGTGCACGGCTGTGGGCACGCGGCTGGACGGCCGCGACACCACCCACGGCAAGGAGAGAGGCAGCATCGCGCCATGCAGGCTCGGCGGGGGCCCGCCGCGAGGGCGACCTGCGCGTGGCGAGGCCAGGCGGGCCAGCCCAGCTGGTGCGAGGTGCGCAGGTGGGCAGAGTGGGTCGGCGCGTGCCCTGGCGACATCATCGGCGACGCAAGGCGGGCCAACGAGGTGCTGAGGCAGCAGGGCCTGGTTTCCCACGACCTGGCAGTGATCCGCCCAGTAGACGATGCGCGGCTCGAACGGCGGCCCCCGCTGGTTGCTTGCGTCCGATGCGGGTTCACGGGCGCCGCGTGGGCGAGCAGCTTCAGCCAGGAGTGCAGGTTCCCACCCTCGGACGCTGGAAGCGCTGTGATCAGCCGATTGCAGCAGGGGCTCGCGCCGAAGATCGCCGGCGTGGTGGCGGTCACGGCGCAGCGGCTCGACGGCCACTTGTCAGGCGATGCTGGCGAGGAGGCCAGTGGAGATGGAGGCGACCAGGATGGCGACGAGCGTGGCGCAGAGGAGAAGAACGGGGGAAGTGCCGCTAGTGCGGCGCCCCTTGGGGCCGTCGCCGCGGCCGGAGGGGCCTGCGGCGATGGCGAGGAGAGAGGGCATGGCTGCCTCCATGGCAAGGAGGCCCTGGTGAGGCAAGGTTCAAAACCTCGAGGCGGGTTCGAGGGCAGGGGGGCAGGGCGAGGGCTGCCCTCGCCTGCAAGGGGTGGTGGTGAGGGGCAGGGGGGGGTGGATGGCCGCCACCCGCGCCCCCGCGGTCCGCCCTCGTTCGCCACCCCCACCATCCCCACGGCGGAGGAGGAGCTCACCCGTGCACCAGACTGGCGGAGCAAAGGGCAGAGGTGCGCGCGCCGATGGCCAAGGCGGTGCTTGCCCGAGGGAGGAAGACAAACAAGATGGAGGGGAGGTGCCGCCAGCGCGGCGCCCCCAGGGGCCCTTGCCACGGCCATCGCCGTGGCCTGCGGCGAGGGTGACGACAGAGGCGGTGGTGGCGGCGCGAGGGGGGGAAGTGCCGCCAGCGCGGCGCCCCCCAGGGGCTGTCGCCGCGGCCACCGTGGCCTGCGGCGATGGCGACGTCAGAGGAGGCGGTGATTGCAGCAGTGGTCAACACCTTCCACTCGAGGCGCTCTTTTTCTTCATTGGGCCAGGGACACGCGGGTGAATCCTGGGCATCGTGAGAGGGGCCGCCTTGTCGAGGTTCTGACCCCGGCGGCAGCATCAAAAACACATGTCCAGAATAATCTAGCTCTGCAGAGCCTCCCAGGGTGGGAGTGGTGGGAGCTTGAAAGCCCTTGAGCAACTACGGTTGCAGGGTAGAGTTGATTAATGAAAATGGTCCCCCTTGAAACGACACCTATGACATCCCGAGACAGCTATACCCCAGACGTTTCATGGATCGGGCATCTCACACGTAAAACTCCAAAGACGAAAAACGGATCCTTTTCGATTGAAAAAAGGTTGATTTCTCTGGCGGCCTGAAACACGACGAGAGCACCAGAGGACAACCCGTTCAGCTAACATTCATTCCGCTCGAGGCGCTCTTTTTCTTCATTGGGCCAGGCACGTGCGACGCGTGGGTGAATCCTGGACAGCGCGAGAGGGGCCGCCCTGTCGAGGTTCTGGCCCCGGCGGCAGCATCAAAATCACATGTCCACAACTAGCTTTGCAGAACCTCCCGTATCCCGTATCGTATTTAGGGGTAACTGTCCTATATCTCGGGGTGGGTGGTGGGGCCATCAACACACTTACACTAGGAACACAGTGAGAGCATAAACACAGAGACCCCAAACAGTGGGGGGACCGAGCGAGGGGAAGAGGCCGAGAGGCAAGCGGGAACAGCAAAGCTGTCTAGGGTGGATCAGATGTGGCGGGCGCCAAATGGCCCATCCAGACACGGGAAGCACCGGATAAAAGCGCGCCTCTGGCCGACCACCCTGGGACAACCTTTCTGCGAAAGCGTTTACCGCTCGGTCGAGGGCCCCCCATCTTTTTGAAGGCAGAGCAGGACAGCGGGCCTCCACCTGTGGGACGGCGGCACTCGGCGAAGCACAGCAAGAACATTGCACTGGTACTGCTCACCTTTTCGCCGCGCATCCTCGGGAACCTGGCTCTGGTGGGCGATCAGGGCGCGCGGTTTCGCGTAGCGCTGAACCGCTTTGGCTTGGCTCCAGCGTCCGCGCCGTTGCGCGTCAGTCAAGCTCCGTCTTTTCATTGGAACGTCCTCGGATGGCCCCGAGTGCCTCAGTGTGTGCATCGGGCCCGCGAACTCCAGCTTGTTCTCGTGCAGCACCTGGCGCCAGACCCTGCCTGCCCTCGTCTGGTTCGCGTGGGAGACCTTCTCGTTCGGGCGGAGTGTCTGAGAGCGAGCCCACAGCAGGCTGCAGAGGAACTGATCGTCCAACGCCACTCCCTGTTCCTGCCCCGTCTTGACCGACTCGCCCCGATGACGCCGCCCGAGCAGTAGCGCGACCTGCACTTCGTCGTACCGTAGTTGCAGCCAGTCTTGTTCTCGAAGGTAGGCGTCGAATGCAGAGACGAACGCGAGGCCCTCGTCCACGAAACTCTTCTCGATGCACTTGGCGGCGATGAAGTAGATCGTAGATCTCGAAGCAGGGCCCCCTTCACGAGTCGCGCTCCACCGTTCCCAGGCCGTCCGAGCCCGAGCCGCGACCGGCATGGAGCCCCGCCACTCTGGGAAGACGTGAAGGAGGCCAGGGAACGCCTTCTCTCCCCTGCCAAGCGGGAGCTGGTCCGCGAAGCACATGCGGTCGAGGAAGGAAGCCACGGTGATGTCGCTCTCCTCAGGGGTCCCGAAGGGGAGGCGCCTGCCGAGCACCTCCATCAGCAGGGACTCCGCTTCCTTCAGGTAGGACACGTTCGTCTCGTCGTTGACCGCATGCACGAGGAGGCGCATCGGGAAGGGCCCGAGGTCCGAGTTGGCGCGGTCGGTGTAGTGGGACTCGTTCCGCGCCATCTCCCGCGCGAGCGCCCCCTTCTTGCGCATGGGCGGGAACTCCCGACGAGGGCCTGCGCTCGCCACTGTAAAGACCATAGCCAGCAACGACCATCTCAGAGGCGGCCGCCCTTGAGATACTCCGCTCCGAGGCACTTCGTCTGGTCCAGCAGCGCGTCGAAGAAGTCGCCCAGGCCGAGGTCATCGCCCTCCGCATTCGGGCCCCCATCCGCCGTCGTGGCAATAGCAAAATCCGACCCATTTTGATTGGAATGGGTCGTTGTTTCCTCCTTCATCTTGGTCTCCAGGGCGGGGCCGACGTCCTCTCCTCGACTGAGCCCGTCTGCGGGGTTCCAGGCCGAGGGGATCCAGCATAGCAGAAGGCTGATGCCGAACGCCAGCTCGATAGCTCCAAGTTGACGAACTCCGCGCAAGAGTCGAAAAGGGCAACTGCGCATCTTGTGGCAGCATCCTATCGTGACCATCGGGTCGCACAGGACGAGGTACTTCTTGTCCCAGCTCGTCTGCGCCCTCGCCAAATGACGCCCCAGCATCTGGACCGTCTGCAGCTCGAGCACGTTGATGTGGTCGTCGCGCCTCCCAAGACCTTTCCGGGTCGGCGTCCAGCGGCGCGGGTCGGCCCACGCACTGCCCACTGCGCGGGGATGGCGTCGTCGGGGGTGCGAGGGCCATATGTAGCCTCGGACGATGTGGAGCCAGGTGCCCTTGCTGAAAGCCATGTCGAACCGCCTCCCCATGCGCGGAACACAGACGAGGTGGATAGGCGGCCGCAAGTCGCGTCCAGAGAACACCCTCGGGCGCGACCCCCCGCAGCGTCTGGTGCTGATGTCCGCCAGGACAGCCGCGGGATAATCTGCCCAGCTCGGGCACGTTGGTGAGCAGCCGCGTAGGCTTGAGCCACCTGGCCCCGCACGCGCAATAGACCAGGGTCACCTCCAGCACGCTCTCCGTGCCCCGCATTTCGAAGAACTCCGGGAGGTCCCAGAGCGTGGAGGTAGTGGGGTTCTCCACGCTGAAGCCAATGCCTGCCCGCATGCAGGCCTGAACAAGACGAGCCGTTGCCCGCGCCAGGCGAGTGCCCTCCTCGGCCTTTCTCCTTTGCGTGGGCGTCAGCCTGGGCAAGCCGCAGACGTGCTCCCCCTTCTGTCGCAGGGCCGGCCGCCGGCCCTTGACCGAGTCGCGCAAGGCGGGGCGAAATGCAGCATGAAGAAAAAGCCCGCCAGGATGAGCCTCTCCAGGTACTTTACAATGCTGGGGTCCGTCAGGTCGTGGCACGAATCCCGCGCCTTGTCGAAGTAGACCGTCTTGCAGCGGCACGCCTCGGCCACCGCTGTCCCGAAGCCTCCAGCGCCAGCGAAGATGTCCCCCATCGCGCGGGGGCAAGTCGTGGAGGGCGGCTCGAAGACCGTCTCGACCCCCCTGCGGAGCATCTCCTCCTGGTCAGATTATCCTCGTCGTCCGTCTCCTCCACTTCGTCGTGCACCCGCGCCGCCTGGCGCGACCGGCGCCGGGCGGCCTCCTCTCGCACCTCCTCTGGGCGGGCTTCGGCGCGAGCGATCCCGAAACCCTCTTCGCTCGCATCCGAGGCAAAGACCGTCGACGACCAGCTGCGCTTCAGCGGGGTCCGAAGCATGGGGGCCAGGTAGTACAGGGCCTTCAGCTCCCCGATCACGGAAGACCACAAAGGCAGCACCTGCTCCGACAGGTCGTACTTCACCACAAACTTGAAGGTCGCGTTCATGATGCTCAGCCCCGCGCGGGCGCACATCAGCACCCACACCCAGCTGCCGTTCAGGCGCGAGAGAGCCTTCGGGGAGCAGCGGTGCTCGTCGATCACGAACTTGGTCGCCGTGATCAGGAGCTGGAACTTTTTTGATCGCGGGCTCCAGGTCCAGGGTCCGCTCGTCGATCCTGACGCCCAGGCTCGATGGGGCCCCCACCGCTACCCCATCCATGTGCATTGGGAGGCCCACCTCCTCCAGGCGGGCGCGCATGGCCTCCCGCACCATCTCCACCTTGCCCAGCTCGGAGGGCGGCCCCAGGCTCACGTTGAGGACGTCGTCCATGTAGATCCAATAGAGCTGGGCCGCCTTCCTGAAGTCGGGCGGCGGCTCGTGGACGGCCACCTGGCCCTCCGCTGGAAAATGCACCTGCCCTATCATGATGTCCTCGAGGGCGTTGTGGCATATGGCTGGGGACCAGCTGACGCCCATCACCATTACTCGAAGACAAAAGAACCTGCCCTCCTGGAGGGAGGGGCCAGGCAAGCCACGCCGACGGAGTTCCCCACGTAGTTCCTTTGGGGAGACCCCGTCCAACACCATGTACGGCCGCAGCCATGGCGGCGCCAGGCAGCGGTGAAAGTAGTCGGGCACGTCCCCCCAGGCGCTCAGCAACGTCTTGCCCTCCCTCCTCGCTGAGCTCCAGGGGTCCAACGGCGACGGGAGTGCCTGGAAGAACCTGTTGACTGCGCGCATGTCCCAGACAGGTCTCAGCAGCAGCTCGCCCTCCTCGACCTTCTTCATCACGAAGAACACCGGTATGCTGCGCGCTTGCTCTTCGGTCGTGCCCAGAATTCCCGCCTCGTAGACGTCCACCGCCAGCTCGAGCTTCTTGGACTTGCTGCGGAGGTTGGGGTCCATGTACGTCTGGGTATGCCAGATCTCCTCGAGGTCGACCAGGTGGGGCGGCTTCAGCATCCGCTCGCGGTTAAACGTGAAATAGTAGCGCGAGCCCGATCCGAGTCCATCATGATGTCGCAGGGCTGCGTACCCCGCGGTGGCAAGGATATGCGACCCTTGCTCCAAGCCGCAACCTGCCCTTTGGCAGGGGTTTCCCCAGCCGCCTTCTCCTTGAAGATCGCGTTCTGGTAGCTGGAAGCCGACGCGTGCAAGTCGAGCCGCTCGAAAGCGGACTTCGGGGTCAGGAGGTAGAGCCCCCTCTCGTGCGCCAGACGGTGCAGCCCCCCAATCCTGCTGGTGGTCTCCCGCGGGATCGAGTCGCCCCGCTTCCAGGAGCTCGCGCTGGCCCAGGACGACTGCTCCTCCTCCAGCTCGGACAAGTCCCCCTTGAACATGGACCTCAGGGCAACCAGGGCCCCGCACGTCTGCTCGTAGATCGACTTCTCCTGGGCCCAACGAGACCGCGACCGCCCCGAGTTGAGCGAAGGCTTCGCAGGCCCGGGAGGGAAGGCCAGCTCCAGCAGAGGGTCCCTGACTCGGGTGCGAGCCCAATCCTCCATCACGCTGCCCGAGGACAGCAATTTGGAAAAGTTGGTGACCTGGCCCGGTCGTCAACATCGGAGGCGAGGCCTCGCGTGCGCGCAGAGACGCGCGCGCGCAGGGCTTACTCTGGAGTCGCCTTCGGGTCGGCCAGCTTGTCCAGCGTCTTCTGGAGCAGGGCCTTTTGCGCCAACCTCTCCCGGAGTTCCTTCTCGACGCCCTCGATCAAAACGTCCTCGTCGCTGCAATTCATGGGGTTCAGCTCCGAGAGCACGGGGTAGTTCACCTTGGACTTCCACTCCTTCGGCTGCTTTGGCGCGCGCCAGTTGTGAGAAGTCCGCACCATCTCGAACGCGCGCTCGACCGCGTGAATGCGGCGGAAGGCACTCTCCGTCGTCTTGTAATTGATCCACTCGGCGGGCGCCTCGACCATGCCCCTGTCGATCAGCATCGCCACCATCAAGAGCTCGTCGGCCAAATAGTTCCCATCCAGCTCCTGAGTACGAATGAAATCCTTCGCTATCTGGACCGCAGTGCCCCCGCTCCGGTAGATCCTGGCGATCATGCGCGGCGTCACCCGCGTCTTGATGCCCCCCGCGAGCGCCCAGGCCACCTCCTCCCTGTAAGCCTCCAGCTTCTCCATGGCTACGGACCTCATATCCTTGAACGAGTCCTCCAAGCCCTTCAGCAGCCCCTCGATCTCCGACGACGGGCACGTTCGATGCTTCCAGGCGAGGCTAAGGGGGTGCTCCCGAGGTCTCCAATTCCCTTGATTCTCGCATGACCAGCGATCGGTGGTGATCCATGCGACGCAGGAGACGATTCATCATCTCGTCGTAGTTGTCGGAGCCCGCGGCAGCTCGTGCCGAACTGGCCCCGCCGCCTGTGGGCCCGCCGTGGTGGTCTCTTTCTTCTGTTCCAGGGCCTCCAGCCGTGACGACACCTCGGTGAGCCTCTCCAACAGCTTCTCCTCGGGGGACGGGGTCTCGTCGATGTCGCTCACCTCCAGGCCGTCGTCCCTCGGCGTCGAGGCCCCCGACGGCGAACCAGAGAAGGGGTCGGTCAAGCGCTCCCTCAGGCTCCGCGTGGTTCCTTCGGGCAAGCCAGTCGTGGAGCCTCGATCTATCACGATCGGCGGGGTCGTTCTCCCTCGGGTGCAGCAGCGCGTCCAGATCGAGACGAGAGCCCCCGCGATGATGTACACCACCTCGAGCTTCCCCTCCTCGGGCAGGGTCATGACTACCTCCACCTGCTCCTTGACGTCCTCGACGGTATCCACGGCCTCCTTGATGCAGGCTCCAGTCGCCACGCATATACGCCAAGTAACGAAGAGACCAGATGCCACGCTTCCCCACCCTCGACGCAGGAAGAAGAAGCCGGCTGCCTCGGTCATCCAGCTCACTCCCTACCACAACATCTTCTCCCCGAGCTTGCTCTTTTTCTTCGGCGACTGGCCCTTGGCGTCGGGGGCGGGCCCACGCTTCACCATGATGGCCTTTGTCGCGTCCTGCTCCACGACCAGGCGGTCGGCCGCCTGCAACACTTCGGTCTTCTCCTCCGGGGTCAGCCCGAGGAACGGGCCGTGCGAGATCTTCGGGAACGGCTTCAACCGCACGTTGGCCGCGGCCAGGTCCACGACCTGCACCCGCCCGTTGGGGCACGTGGGGCACGCCATGACCCACCGCTTCTCGCCGGGCGTCGTGGTAAACTTGGTCGCGAGCAGGCACGCCAAGCCCGCGGTGTTGTTGGTCTTCAGGTAGACGCGGGTCCACCGCGTGGCCGCCAT